TTTTTAATCAAACGTATAATACTATACAAAGACTTTAACTTTGTCTAGTTATATATATATATATATATATATATAATATATATATATATAATTAATTTAATTATTATAAATTTAGTGATACGAGACACTAGATTTTTTAAGTCAAAATATAGGTTTGAATTTTGGTGTTTGCAGATAGAATATAATATATTAGAAGTAAGGTTGTTCATGGATGATTAACTATACCGTTTAGCCTAAACGATTGGTTAACCGTTATAACGATTATGAGGTTTTTTTTAATCGTAACCTATCCATTAAGAAACGGTTAACTGCTAATGGTTAACCGTTATTATTTGTTCGGTTAACCTGTTACAATTATTTGTCAATTTTTTTTCCATAATTCATACTATAAAAAATGTAGCACTTAACACATACTACACCAGTGTAAGTGAATAAAAGGAAAAAGTATAGCACTTAACACATATTTACAACGGTATAAGTAAATAAAATAAAAGAGAAAATAACTTCAGTGACCAAAAATCCCAGATAATATACGATTTTGACCAACTTTTTTTGGATTTGCGAATATGACCAACAAAATCGCAATGTGATCTCTAATTCACATTGCGATATCTACTATCGCAATTTCGCGTTGCGATAGTCGAAAATCGCGTTGCGATTTTTCATTTCGCGTTGCGATAGTTGAAAATTGCGTTGCGATTTTCCATTTCGCGTTGCGATAGTCTACAATGTCGTTGCGATTTTCCAAATTCGTTGCGATAGTCTACAGTTGTTGTTGCGAAAGTCTACAGTTGTCATTGCGATTTTCCAAATTCGTTGAGATAGTTAAAAAAAAAAGATTTTGTTTCTTAAGAATTTTCTCTAAAAAGATAGTATCCGCGCGGACGTGTCGAAGACACGTATTACCACGACCACGACCCGACCTGACCCGACCCGAGACTATCGCAACGAATTTGGAAAATCGCAACGCCAACTGTAGACTATCGCAACGTGAACTGAAAAATCGCAACGCGATTTTCGCAACGAATTTGGAAAATCGCAAAGACAACTGTAGACTATCGCAACGAATTTGGAAAATCGCAACGACAACTGTAGACTATCGCAACGCGATTTTCAACTATTGCAACGCGATTTTCAACTATCGCAACACGAACTGAAAAATCGCAACGCGAAATGGAAAATCGCAACGCGAAATGGAAAATCGCAACGCGATTTTCAACTATCGCAACGCGATTTTCAATTATCGCAACGCGAATTTGCGATAGTGGAGATCGCAATGCGAATTAGAGATCACATTGCGATTTTGTTGGTCATTTACGCAAATCCAAAAAAAGTTTGATCAAAATCGTATATTATATGGGATTTTTAGTCACTGAGTTTATTTTTTCAAAATAAAAAAGTGTAGCACTTAACACATACTTCCACTGATGTCAGTATGTACATCTTCCAATATCTTAGTACTTAACGATAAACATATAATTATATTGATGTAAGTATGTTTCTATATTTTCAAAAAATTAAAAAGTAAGAAATAAAAAATATATTAAGTCATTTGTATACAAATTTTATTAAATATATATAAATTATAAATAATAGAAACTTTTAATATAATTTATGTAAAAATATAATAAATTAGAAATGTAATTTATTAACGGTTAACCGTTTATCAAAATTCGTAATCGTAAACTTAATCATTAATTATCATTTTTAGCAGTTCGGTTCACTGAAATCGTTTAGTATTAACGATTCAATTAATTAACTTCTTAAATATAACGGTTATACCAGTTAACATTTACGGTTAATTTTTTCGAGTTTTTTTAACACTCCTAATTAGAAGGATCACCTCTATATTAAACATCTATAAAATCCGATTTAAAATAATTAATTAATAAATCAAATACAGATAATTAACTAAAAATAAATCGTTTTTGGTGTATTAGTATTCTAGTAGGTTAGGAATGCTATTATCACGCGTTTTGGAGATTTTTCTATGATATTCTTTTAAATATTTAAATTATTAAGTAATTGAAAGGATTGTTATTATTTTTAAATCTCTAAAGTTGGGACGATAACGGGTCAAGTTTTTTGTCAATCCGATCTGATCAAAAAATATGTACCTTCCACCTAAATTTGATTTGATTCGATTTTTCAGAGTATAAATCCGACCCGACCTGATATAAATTAAAGATTTAATTAAAAAATAATAAAATTTTAAGGAAAATAACATTATTTTCCTCAGGTCGAGTTAGAGTTTTTTCACCATCCACCGGACCTGATCCGAACCTAATTTTCTTTTAAAAAAACTGATCCGATCGAGTCGGAACCTGTCGGATGTGAGTGAAATTGCCATCTCTAGTATCAAGTTTGAGCAGTTATGTCCGTATAATGTGTGCATTGTCAATAATTAAAAAAATTATGAATAAATATTATTTTGTGATCACCTCATACTATCTAAAAAATAATAATAATCGTATTTTTAAATTAAATATTTTTTTTCTTTTTTATGTTTTAATTTACACTATTAATTTTTTTAATTTATCTATCACTAGTTATAAATTATTTATTAAATTCGATTTTTGTTATTTTAATTTATTAAATTTTCTAATATTGAATTCAATATTAAAAATCTTTTGACTCAACTAATAAACCGACTATCTTACCATCTTAATGTCTAAGCTTAGATTAATTATTTTCCTTATATTTCGTTTTCAGTCGTTCATAAAAATTAAAAATTAGGTGCAATCAACCATTAGCAAGTTTTGCTTTTGACTTTATATATTTTAAAAATTAATTATTACAAAATACATTGACAATGTTTTTATTTTAACATGACAAAACATATGTAAAATAATTAATTACACGACATATGTTCAATGAAATATATATTTAAAAATATTAAAATAGTCATTATTCAATTATAAAGCATGCATCTCATGTAAGTCGTGTAAATATATTTACAATATTGAAGAAAAAAAAAGTCCACTAATTCACATATAAAAACAATAAAATCTTTAAAATTATATTGTATTTTGTAAAGTATATATTACATCATAAATATATAGATAATTAATAAAAGAGACGAGGAGTGAATACACGAGGAAAAGGTAATTTTAACCCTAGATCGTAGGTGGACTAATTATTTAACTTAATACGACAAAAAATAATTTTTTTATTTAAACTTTTTACTTCGATGTGATAAAAAATTATATTTTATTGGAATTTTTCATCTCACGTGATAAGTTTGAATAAAAATATTTTGAATAAACTCATCATCTTGACGTAACAAGTTCCTTAAACATTATAACAAATACTGTAAATCTCAAAATAAACTTTTATACGTGGCATTCGACTAATTAGTAAAAGTGTTTGCCCTTTTAGGGGTAAAAAAGCCCAAGGAAAACTTGGGTTTAAAGTTACATACTTAAGATTGGTTTAAAATTAGGTTTAAAGGTCCATATAACCAAGCATTGACTTCACATTTTTGCCTTAGCAAAACGATTCAATTTCTACAAGCCCAAATCCTCAAGATTTGGGATGGTCTTTTTTAGTCATGTAATGTTAAAACTAACATCTAATATTTACTTAAATAATTTTTTAATGTTTATTTATTATAGTTTAACCTTTTTAATATTTTGTATTTGATCAAAATAATGTCGGTTAGATGAAAACTAATCGATATATTCAACATATGTTTTTAACATGATACTTTTATATGTACCTAATTACTTATATCACATGTCACATCATTATTATCATCTCAAGTGATGTGATACATATTAAACATAACTTTCGGTGGCAAGACACATACTACATCATCATTTTGAGTGATATGTCATGTGACACAACAATAATTTAACACATGTAAAATATCATGCCAATAATGTATGTAATCGTTACACAAATAACTATGCTTTAATATCAATATAATATATAAAAAATACCAGTCAAATATGTTTAACTCTAATGCCAATAACCTATTGAGTGATTTTAATAGTGAAAAGTAGGCAAAACTACATCATAAGTCCGTATACTTTTAAAAAAATTAATGTAGTCATCGTATTATTTTTTCTTAATATGATATTTCAACTCAGAAAATAAACCCAATGTGGTCTTTTGACAAACGTTTTTCGTCGTTACGATGTTGACGTGTCAATTCACGACATGACATGAGGTCCATGATGGTTAATAACATGGCAGATGACATAACAAAATGAGCTAAATTGGTAACTAAAACATGACAATGGATGTCTGCCAATACCATGAACTACCACATCAACACCGTAACAATTAACGATGAAAAACATTAATCAAAGGGTCAAAATGAGTTTGTTTTATGAGTTGGAGGGTCATATTAAAAGAAAAAATCATATGAAATCTATATTGATTTTTTTTAAATAGTACAAGATAACTGATGTTTTTTTTTGCCTAAAAATAATATCACTCTCTCTAAAAAAAACTCAAATTCAAACAATTATATCTACAAAAATTATATACATTGTCAATAATTAAAGATAATTTAAACAGATATTCCGTATAATTTTCCTATACTATTAAAAAACGTTTAACACCGATCCTCGACTTGTCCCCCACAATTAGGATAGCAATGGGTCGGGGTCGGGTCGGGTTTTTTGGGCCACCCGACCCGACCCGAGAAGAAGGGTTCTCCACCCGGACCCGACCCGACCCGAAAAAATTAATGTTCACCCGACCCCCCCCAACCCGAATATATGACTTAGAAACCCGACCCGACCCGACCCAAAAAAAAATTTAATTCAATGAAAACAATGACTTAATTGAAAAAAATTATATATGGAGGGATATTATTGTAATTATCCTAAATATAAGATATAAAATTATATATATTTTTTCGGATCGGTCAAGTCAATTTTTTTACCCTAAACCCACCCGACCCGACCCGAACAGTACATTTAAAAAAAACCCGACCCGAACCCAAATTTTTTTTTAAAAAAATCCGACCCGATCAAGTCGGGGTCCCAACACATAGCTCTATTGGGTAAGTGAGCCCTTAGCCCTGAATAGGAAGCGTGCCCGGCTCCAATCCTGTTCCTAATAATATCCATTGCTCCACCTTTGTCAAATCAATGAAACCTCAAGGATTCCATCCATTTCCTTAGATTCCAAAGTGTTTTGAGATTACGGTACCCGTCTAAGAAGGTAAAGCCGTATACGTATCTTTATGTATACCCAATGTTTTTTCATCTGCAATTACTGTACAATTTAATCAGACAAATTATCTTATGTTTGTCCCTAATCTCCCTGTTATGTTTGAGGATTTGAATCCTTTAGACTTTTGATTGGTTCTCGTTGCGAAACAATCATGGATCTGTCGATGAAGAGATCGCTTTTGGAAGCTGGACATGTTGATCAGGTTCTTCTTATTTAATCTTATCCGAGATTTCTTTGCCTCACCCTTTGAGATTTTGCTCCAGAAACCTTTGACAATGGTTAAAATTCTGGGTTTGTTGTTTTCCTTGTTGCAATTCTTTATCTTGGAATTTGCGTTTCGATTTATCGTGTTTCCAGACTGAAAGCAGTTCGCTGTACACCGGGATGGCTCCGTTGACTTCAATGGGAATCCTGTTTTGATTTATCGTGTTTCCAGACTGAAAGCAGTTCGCTGTACACCGGGGATGGCTCCGTTGACTTCAATGGGAATCCTGTTTGAAGCAGAATACTGGAAATTGGAAAGCATGCCCTTTCATTCTGGGTGAATTATAATTTTATCTCCTTTTTTTCTATTTCTTTTGTATGGATTTTGTTTGAGGAAGCTGATCTTATATTCTTATGTCAAATTTTCATATAAATGTAGGTAATGAATGCTGTGAGAGGTTGGCTTATTATGGGATAGCGACTAATCTTGTGAGCTATTTGACCAAGAAACTGCATGAAGGGAATGTATCGGCTGCAAGAAATGTGACTACTTGGCAAGGAACTTGCTACCTTACACCTCTCATTGGAGCTGTATTAGCAGATGCATATTGGGGAAGATATTGGACAATTGCTGCCTTCTCCACCATCTACTTCATTGTAATATAATTTACTCTAATTATCTCCTTTTATGCGATTTAGATGTTTGTCGGTTTTATGCTTTAATTAGTTATATATCAGATATGTTGTGTAATTATTGCTTCATTATTTTGAAGTACCAGTCATGAAGTTGAGCTAGCACCTAGGCGCATAGTCTTTGGTTGCTGTTCTTTTTTGACATTGTGTTTTCTGCAATTTTCATCATGTTATTAACCCTGATTTTGTTTACATGGTCCTTCACTTGCTATTTAAATTAATGCATGAATCTCCATTTTCATAGCGTCGTTTCGGTGTTAGGTCGTAGAAGAAACTTTTTGACCCCTTATCTTGTAATATCTTCCAACATTTTATGTGGTAAAGAATTACTTTTGGCTATTTGAGGACATCAATTTGCCATCATTCATGTTATTGACTAATGAATTCTGGTACATATATTTAATTAAAATGGGTGTGTTATATGTTTTGATTTTGCTTTCTGATGCATTCAATAACACATTTACTATTCGATTCAGGGAATGTGTACATTGTCTCTCTCAGCGTCAATTCCTGCACTGAAGCCTGCTGAATGTGTGGGTTCTATTTGTCCCTCGGCTACTCCAGCTCAATATGCTGTATTCTTCTTTGGGCTCTATCTGATTGCATTAGGGACAGGTGGAATCAAACCGTGTGTATCATCCTTTGGGGCAGATCAGTTTGATGATACTGATCCCAAAGAAAGGGTGAAGAAGGGGTCCTTCTTTAACTGGTTCTATTTTTCGATCAACATCGGCGCTCTGATATCAAGCAGTTTTCTGGTGTGGATTCAGGACAATGCTGGATGGGGTCTTGGATTTGGAATTCCAGCATTGTTTATGGGCCTTGCTATTGGAAGTTTCTTTTCTGGCACAGCTCTCTATAGATTTCAGAGACCTGAGGAAGCCCTATTACAAGAATGTGTCAGGTCGTGGTTGCAGCATTTCATAAACGGCATCTTGAGGTACCTGATAGTACCCTCCTGAAACTAGTGACAAGCACTCTGCCATTGAAGGAAGTCGGAAACTGGAGCACAGTGATGAGTTGAAGTAAAGTTTCTTAATTTATTTCAGAGTTTTGAATGATTGATCTCAACCTTTGTTAGTTTTGTAATCCCATCTTGTTGCAGGTGCCTGGATAAAGCTGCCAGTCAGTGATGCTGAAACCAAAAGTGGGGACTTTTCAAACTCCTGGAGGCTTTGCACTGTAACACAAGTAGAGGAATTGAAAATTTTGATCCGCATGTTTCCTGTCTGGGCTACTGAATTGTGTTCTCTGCTGTTTATGCCCAAATGTCGACTATGTGGAACAAGGGATGATGATGGATACAAAGATTGGTTCTTTCACTATTCCTGCTTCCCTCTCAACTTTTGATGTTTTCAGTGTCATTTTTTGGGTTCCCGTATATGATAGGATAATTGTCCCGATAGCAAGAAAGTTCACAGGCAAGGAACGGGGCTTCTCAGAGTTGCAGCGTATGGGAATCGGTCTCTTTATTTCATTCCTATGCATGTCAGCCGCTGCTGTGGTGGAGATCAGGAGGTTGCAGCTCGCAGAAGAGCTAGATTTGGTTGATAAACAGGTAGCGGTACCCTCAGTATTCTTTGGCAAATACCTCAATATTTCTGTTGGGTGCTGCAGAGGTCTGCACATTTATCGGACAGCTCGAGTTCTTCTACGATCAGTCCCCTGATGCCATGCGGAGTTTATGCAGTGCGCTTTCACTCCTAACTACAGCTTTGGGCAATTACCTGAGTTCTTTCATTCTGACTGTCGTAACTTACTTCACAACAAAAGGCGGCCAAGTTGGATGGATACCGGACAACCTTAACGAGGGTCATCTTGACTATTTCTTCTGGCTCTTGGCTGCCCTCAGCTTATTGAACTTGTCGGTGTACACCGTCTGCGCTTCCAGGTACAAGCAGAAGAAGGCTTCTAAGTTCCTTCTGATATGGAGAGAAATTCAGCTGTGATGTTATTTTAAAAGATAAAACCTGCATGCATCTCAATCTAAGGACATCCTTCCACTTTGAAAAGTGACTGCCTTGTATCTTATTGTATTGATTTTAGTTTGTCTGTTTCTAACTGGTTGTACATAGAATACTGCATGCTTTTCAACTATATGCCATCCTTCAATATTTGGACTAAATCATTCTGGTTTGATTAAAGGTGTTGACATTCGTTCTTGTTCATTTGATAATGAACGTTCGTTCCTTTATATATACGGTGTTTGAATCTGTGACCTCAAAAGATAACAATAATTTTTTAACCAATGAGGTTGTTTGGTTAAGCATACAATTAGCGATTTTTTAACCACCGATATCCTATCTATTGAAAGACTAATCATGATCGGGTACTGCAAAGGCGAGGATGACCCTACCAATCTAATATGTTCTATTTACAAACATCAAAATTCGAACCACTAATCTTGCTTAAGGAATTTAATGTCTCATCTTACTAGATTAACTGGTTGTTTCTAACAATTAAATATATTATTAACTTAGTTCTACTAATTAAAAAAGGTAACTTAAATTTAAAATTTTAATATATTAAAGGGACTAAAACCATAATTAAACAAAAAATAAGTAACCACAATGTTAATCAAAATGGTTATTTTGTCTCCTATTTTATCTTTTGTAGCATTCCCCCCCTAACATTTCACTTTAGGGTAAAAAACCCCCTAACATTTAATAAAATAATTATTTTGTCCCTTATTTTTTTTGGACATTTAACCCTCAACATTTCATTTTAAGTTAAAAAAGCTCCGGAGCGTTAATCATGTGTTAGCAAGTAATTTTCATCTATAGAGGGAGCTTTTTGCCACAAAGTGAAAAGTTGGAGGACAAAATGTTCCATAAAAAAGAATAGGGAAAAATGATCATTTTGGTCAACATCGGGGGACTATTTTTGATATTATGCCATATATTAATGTTTTACTAGGTTTTAAAAGTGAATTTTGGTAAAAAAATTTGGTTCCATATATTAATGTTTTACCGAGGTAAATAAACTCGGTAACAATACAAAAGCATTCGCAAAGGCAAATCTCACAAAGTAGGCATTTTTATTTGGGGTTAATTACATGGTTGATCATTTATCTTTGAGTTTTGTCCACTTTTGATCAATTATTTCAAAATACATAAGATATGGTCACTTACGTTTTTATTTAAACAAGATTTGGTCACTCCGAGCTAATTGTCGTTAACATCAGTTAAATATTTTGATATATTCATATATTTGGTCCCTTTTTTTTACATATTATTTCAACTTAGTCATACTTTTAATAAATTGAAATAAATTATATATTTTTAAATGAAAATAAAAATAAAATATTTTTATTTGAAGGCATACAATTCTCCGAACTCCTCATCATCTGTGGCCTTGGATGTGACAGTGAAATTAGTGTCAATACCAGCTAGAACCTTCAACAGGCCTTGGATGACAGCGAACAGATGTGCCGAAATACCACCGATGACCCAGAATTGCTCGTTTCTCCACCATTCCTCGATGCTTACTCCGTCCACCTGAACTCAAGAATACCAGTTGCAAAGATTGAAAGAAACAAGGCAATGAAGAATAGACTTGCAAAGGTGCCTATCTGTTGCAGGAGAGAATATGAACAAGTTAGCAGGTAAGGTATTTAATCTTCAGTTCAATGATTAAAGGAGAATCCTTTATTACCGGTGGCATGATAAATTTGTCAGTAAGCAACAGATTGCTGGAAGGGAACAATAGGCGAAGAGTGGTAAAGATGTGAAGGGGTAGATGGTTGTGTTGACATATGCAAATCGCTCGAGCCACCTCAGCCTTCCTTCCTTGAAGCCGTACCATGCAGGGCAGTGATGACTAAAGAAAATTTCAACAGAACCAAGCGCCCATCGAAGGACTTGGTTGAGACGATCCGAGAGATTGATGGGAGCTGAACCTTTGAATGCAGGCAACTTTGGCATACAGTATTTCGACCTCCGTCCACGGCAGTGCATCTGGAAACCTGTTAGAATATCCTCTGTAATTGAGCCATAATATGTGGAAGATACAAACTTCAGATTAATGTTTAAACTTAGAAACATCTGCGCTTCTTTCGAAATCACAACTTCACAAGCGCAAATGGCATGCTAAATTTCAAGCGGTCAGCATTACGTACCTCGCTTCCCCATTCTGCTTTGTCTTCATAACCACAGCTAATTACATGAATGGCTTCTTTGAGCAGAGCTGCAGGGCTTGAGGAAGGAGGGACACAACCTTGTTCCATCAGGGTTGAAATTACAAAGATGGTCGACTGTCCAAATTTCTTTACAAAGTTCATGTTGGACATCAGATACTCCTTGTCATCTTTGGTTGCAGTTAGTATTTAAGAAAAACAAGATTTGGAAGTCAGATGAAATGAATAAATCATATGAACGGCAGCTGCTGAAGATTGAATGACAAGAATAAAATGTCAGTGTTAAGTGTTAACCACCTTCCAGGCTTGGACCATTTGCATTTCCACCATCCTTAGAATGCTTTCTATCCTCTCTGCGGCGTCCAAAGCAAGGGCAGCAGCCACATGTTACCGTCTTCGGGCGCTTAGCCCCCTTCGGAGGTCCATAACCATAGAGAGCTTGCCTTCTGAAAACACACCCAGTGCCGACATATACAGGACCTTGTATACCATCTAGACCTTTTATGTTAATCTGCAGAAACCAGAGGACAGAAGTTTGATTAATTTATTTGTCCCCGTGTCACCTTATAGTGCACAAACAAGACCTACTGCCGAGATTGATTTCTCAACGTGCTATACTAGAATCTGGAGTAGTGACTATCAGAGGAAGATTAAACATGCGGTTTGTCGGTTTGTCCACAGTCTTGTCCCAACAATGATGAATTTGTATAAAAAACGTGTCATCCCGAACCCCCATTGTCCCCGATGCCCGACCATAATCGAATCAAGTGAACACGTAATACGTGACTGTTCTGTAGCAAGCGCAGTGTGGAGGAATTTAGGAATTCAATGGCCAGCCAATGGCTCTCGTTGGACTGTGAAGGAATGGTCAAGTTGGCTGTTTGATCATTGCCCTACTGCTAAATATGGCGAACTACATAAAGTAATCCAAAAAGTGACATGACAATTGCTGGTGGAATGTAACTATAAACATCAAGGTCGGATTATGGATGAATATTGGTAATAATGAAGAAGCCAAAGCTACAAAGTTTACTCGACTGAACCAAATCATGGCAAAGAACGGGTCATCGGACGTCGGAAAAAGGAAAAGCTACCTGAACTTCATCGGCGAAGCAAGATTACTAATCCCTATAAACAAAGAGAAAACGGTAACTCTTTGTATTTATTGGCAGCAGGCCAAAGGGAAAGAAACAATGAATGCAGGTAAATATCCCGAGGGGATGGTAAGAAAACAAGAATAGGTATTGAAGATAAGAGAGCACAGTGTATGTGTACGTTTCGGATTTTGATGGTGGCCAATAGGTGCAGTTCTTAGCCCTGCTCGATTTAGTAAATGCGTTTTGTCCTCCCACGAACCACACTGTCCCCTCACGATTAGAGACATTTATTTATCAATAGTAAAATATTAGATGCCTAAACGTAATTAAATTAATTAATTGTTGAAATTTTTAATCGTTATTTGATTGTAACATTTCAAGAAATATTTTTTCGCCGTTAAATCTCTCTAAAGGATAAATGTAATATAAGATAACAGATGGCACACATAACATGATTAATTACTTAATTTTATGTCATATTTTATGATATTATTGTACATATATGTGTCTATAATGATAAATTTTAGAATAAATTACGTATTCAATATTTAAATTAGTAATTTTAATTTATTTTAATATTTAAACTTTTAATTTTTTTAAAATTAACATTAAATTTTGATCCAAAACCTAAATAAAAGTTTTATTATCGTTTCTTATTTTTCAAAACAATAGGTGATTGATTTGATGAACGAGGAGATGACGTTATGTGTCCAAAATTGAATTGACAATTCCAATTCCTTATTCCCCGTTTTCTGTATACGGAAACCTATAGAATCCCCTGTTTATCTGCTGTCCTCGCTATTACGTGTTCCTCTCTTTCACCGCATCACCGTTGATTCTACTTCTTTTAATGTACGGCGTTGATCGTCCTACACAAACACAAGCTTGGGGTCTTTGGTGATCATCATGTCGACGTTGGCAGTATTATATATATATATACACACGTTCATAGCCTCTATTTACGCACAGTAAAGAAGAGACGAAGCAAAAGGTCAATGCGAAGCAGTTGGGTGAAGGGGTAATTTTGACAGATCAGAGAAGCTGGTGACGGGGAGTTTTTGATTTAAAATCTGGGTTTAAATCGTTTTTAATAATATAATTCAGTTTTTTTTTTGGATTTTATTTTATCTGAGGAAAGTGTGTGACCATATTTTTGCAGGTATTATCAGTGCTTCTTAGGAATTTACAGTGCTTCCCCTCGTGATATTTCTTGTTCCTTTTTCCTGTCTTGCTGCTTTATTGCAAAGTGATCATGTTTAAGAGTGTGTTAGCTGAGAATCTTGGTGAAAGCTTTGAAAGGATATACCTTTGGGAATAAAGGAGTGAACTTTTGCGTACCCATTTTGAAGATTTCTTCTGGAAAAAAACTGGGAAATGGGTAGTTGTTGGAGGGTGCAGTGAGGCAGTATGTAAGATCGAAGGTGCCTCGTTTGAGATGGACGCCTCAGCTCCACCACTGTTTCGTTCAGGCCATCGAGAGGCTGGGGTCGTGGCAGTAAGTTTCTGTCTTCTTCTTGTTCTACAGCTTGTCTAGTGTGTTGAGTGCTGTTGAATAATCATTTTTCTCTCTTTTTTTTGGGCAGAGGCTACACCGAAACTTTTCTTCAACTCATGGATGTGAAGGGACTCACCATTTCTCATGTGAAAGCCATCTTCAGGTGTTCCATGATGTTTCACTTTTGTTTATTCTCTTCCCTTTGATCATTTTGTTCACATGGTTTTTTGTTTTGTAAGCAGATGTATAGGAGCATGAGAAGTGATGTTAGCAGACAAGGTACGTACTTTCTTCTAATGGTTTGTTTCTGGTGTTAGAAATCAAAGATCATAAACTCCATTTCTACACAATTTTTGGTAAAAAGAAAGTGCTAGATGTATCACTTCATTATTATATCTCCTTTCTTTCATTTGATGCCAAAATTGACATGAACAGCCCAGTAACTTGTTCACTCCCCAAATCTTCCACTCTTGGCATGTCGATGAAACCCAATACCATAACTGAAAGCAACTTTCCATTGATTTTTTGGGGTTCACAGATAGAAGTTCAACCCATCAAAGAACACAATCTTCTGAGAAACATGTTGGATATGTGGATGCTACAAAGCGGATTGAAGAATCAGATTCTCAACTGATATACAGTCCTTCCTTCAAAAAGTCATCTTCCTTCAAAAAGGTCAGCTTAGCTTTATTCCCTTTCATGTATTTATACATAAAGTTATTTTTCTCTTGAAGTTCTCTTTGATTTCTTTCTTTTGCCTTTTTTTCTCATCAGGGCGAGAATCGAGACGAAGAGTTCAATCTGTGATCAGAATCTGAAATGCAGAAGGAAACCGTACTTTGTTGATGATTATGTGCAGCAGAGAATGGTTGTTCATAAAGGAATAAAGCATTGTAATGGTGCTTTCGTCTGGAGCACGCTCAAGGTCAAGAAGAATCTGATTTCCTCAAGGTACACCAGAACTATACATACGTATATATTGACAGCTTTTGTTATGGCTTGAGTGTAATGTGGGCTAAGTTCCAATACGTATCTTATGACCAGTGGTAGCAACAGGGAATATCCATGTCTTGTAACCCTACTTGCCTAGTTTTTTCGTAGTGTTTTCGTTTCATTTCGAACACCAGTTCATTAGGATGATGAACATAAATGATTCAAGTGGTATTGGTACATGCAATTCACGTTTTCCATTTTTTCAGGTTTCCAAGGTTAATGTAGATGATAACAAATACACAGACGGCAAACATGTCGACGATGACCGGAATGTTAGGAGAGATGTGGGGAAAGACCACGGCGAAGGCGGTGGCTGTGAATTATCGTTCACTCTCGTTGCTCCATCCTTTTCTCAGAGTGAGATCAGCGGAGGCAGTGAGGCGTTATCGTTGGTCTCCGGCTCCGGCTCATCTTCATGCAACCTTAGTAGTATAAGCTTAGATCTATCTATTGCTTCTTGTGGCACCTAATATATATAATTTTTCCTTTTCTCCCCCTCAGCTTAGTAGTATAAACTTACCCAAGTCTCAATTTGAATTATAAATTTAATTATATTTATGTGCTATTTTTAACCAATTAATATATATATATACATATTATTTTAGCATACACCCTTAACAAAAGTCAACGTTGGGGTGCTCAAGTCTCAACTAACGTCTAATATATGGTTTCAAATACAACTACCATATAATATTATTGTATCTATTTATTTATAAGAATGTTTTGTTCAAACAAATGATTAGGAATTTATTGTACAAAAATACATCAATTTGTACTAAATTTATAAAATTATGTCAACTAATGTCGGATAAATTGTTCGATGTTCGATGAATAATTCAGACGTGTATATGTTGGTAGATGATTAGCCGAGGAAGATATTTCTAGTTAGAGATGGCAGCATCGTCCTCTTCAGAGCTTTTCAATGGAATTCTAGAAGAAGATCAAAACCAGGATTCTACAGCACCGCCGCCAGCTCCGCCGTTGCGTCGGAAGGCAAAGAGAAAGCAACCACAACTAGGAACACCAGACAAGTATCAAATTCTGAATTATCTAAGAATTTGTTTATTTTAAACATGTATGGCAATGATGTACAGATCCAGACGTGGAAGTGGTAGCACTTTCTCCCAAGAGCGTAATGGAAACAGACAGGTTCATCTGCGAGGTATGCAACAAAGGGTTCCAAAGGTAGCAAAACTTGGACCTTCACAGAAGAGGACATAATCTGCCCCCGAAGCTTGGAAGGAAGGTTTATATTTGCCCCGAACCCACATGCGCCCACCACGATCCGTCGAGGCCATTCGTGACCTGTCGGCCATTAAAAAGCATTACTCGAGGAAACACGGCGAGAAGAAATGGAAGTGCGAGAAATGTTCCAAGAGGTACGCCTTGCAATCCGACTGGAAAGCTCATTCGAAGACCTGTGGCACAAGGGAGTACAAATGCGATTGCGGCACTGTATTCTCAAGGTAGTAGTAGTTGTTTTTGCATGTACAGTAAGTATTTGTAGGTTATATATAATGGATTTCCAATTTATGTATGTAACTGTTGCAGGCGTAACAGTTTCATCGGTCATAGGGGGTTTTGTGATGCACTGGCTCGGGAAAGTGAAAGGCTACCTTCTTCCTTTAACTTCACTGTCAATCATCAGCCCCATCAACAAGGACTAATGCAGTTTCCAGGTCTCCTAAACAACACAAGCAACAGGCCCTCGGCACCAAATTTCATTAATCTAACTCCATCTGGTTTGCCGACCATCACTGAACATCAGAGCGACAGCCACAACAGCAGCGAGACCGAGGAATGGGGTTCATAATTACGATCAATTCCCAGATGCGTGAAATAGGATTAGTTTGGACATCATATTGTCTTATAAGGAGAATTTTAGCGGAGTGTAAGGGTTCCCTATATCCCACGGCGAAGTGACAAGGGGAGTGAGCCCCCAAAGAAATGACACTCGTCTACTACTACGACTACGAAGGATCCTATATAAGGACACTATAGTCCTTGAAATGACAACCTTCAATCCCCCCCCCCCTTTCAGTTTGTCCCTTCTCACCCATATTCCTTTTCCTATTCTATGCATTTTCTTTGTGTATATTTGCTTGTAAACTAAAAGATGTCACTCCACCATCCCATAATTATACATAGTTTTAGGACATATATTTGAGGAGTAATTAGTGAGTTGAGAGTAAAGCACCAGCTTGACTCACAGACTGTCCAATATTTTATGAAATTACATTTTGAAATATATACATATACATACATGCTCAGTATGATCCGTTTGATGCTTTTGCATTCCTTGGATCAATTAATGAACTAGTATTGTCGAGGCAAAACAATCCCTACCGACACCATGAACCATCCACATTACTTGAAACAGAAACGTGGGTGTATCGATATTGATTCTCATTGGTCCAACCACCATTAATTATCATTTTTCACACGTGGTGATATTCGCCCACCAAAAGAAAATAAAAACAGCTGCAAGCTATAGTAAATAAAACACATTCAATTTTGCTCTAGAAAGGATGAAACTTAAAGACATAAGATCTCTTACTACCAACCCCTCAACTAACAAATCTCCCCTACCCCTTAAATAGTAAATAAACTCGATATGTACGAACTAAATTATTTAAGTGGTTAAAGAAATGATTGTTATTCCTAGATGTCTCAAGTTCGAATACCAACGACTAAATCGTGAATGATTGAGTATTTCATTATTAAATAATTGAAAATATTTAGAATAAATACTCGGCATCTTTTAAGCAAATGAAATGGGAAAGAGGGTTGTAGAGATCACCGTTTTAGGGTTTTATTTTCTTGCCTCCACACCGTTTGGACACGACACAAGCCAATTGGGTAGCATTTGTCGGGACGGGATACTGTCTTGTAGGGGAGGTAGTTTATGGGATTTAGGGATGGGATGTCTAAAAAAGACGGCTTTATGGGCCTATTGCCTTCGGGACCACTCCTTTTTTTTTTACAATCTCTTGTGCGATGCAGCCGAGAAGAACGTGGCCTACTTGTGCCATTCGTTTAATATTGTGCTTATCACCTTCATACCCCTTGTGTTTGGTTGACGAAATGATAAAATTATCAGAGAATAAGATTATTGAGAATATTGTATTTTGTGTTTGATTGGTTTAGCAGAAATGTAAGATTACCATATTTGGTTAAAGAAATAAAATATTATTGGAATATATATTTGACCAAATTGTCCCTATTATATATTTGTTTTTTTAAACAAGTTGAAAAATATTTATATATTTTCTTTAAAAAATTTAAATTCATAAAATTTATATATTTTTTTAAAAAAATTGAAAATATAAAAAGGTTTAATGAAAGGGTAAAATTTTATTTTAACCCCTAAACTTTATATAAAATTTTAATTATAGATTTTTTTTTGTAAATCTAAAATAGTTTAAGAATAAATTTGTAATTTAAATTTCGTAGAATTTTTATTATTCAATGACAGAAGAATGATATTTTTGGAAAAAAAATTAAGGGCATTTTAATCCAAAACGTCGGTAATCCAACAGTAACTAAAGAAAAGGAGGTAATGACATTCTCGGTAATATACCCAAAAAAATCCACTATTGGTAATCTTACATTACCGGGAATGAGATTCCCGAACTAACCAAACGGGGGAATGTGTATTTCATTCCTATGGGATGAGAATCCCACATTCCCCCATCCAAACTCCCCATATGGTCCAACACCAACTCACCTCTCCACCCTTTCTTCATTCAATGTTGTTTGCTGCACACCGTGAATTTAGTGTTTTATGGAATAATTTGGTCGATATTTTGATGGTTGATCTTTTCTAATTTGAAAAAAAACCCTTCAATTGACGTTTTTCTAAACATTTTTCTTTTGATGGATTCTTCTAAATTTCAACTCTCTTCTTTCGAGTAAGTATGAGGTGGATATTATCTTGATTTTTATAGGTATGCTTTGTTAATTTAAAGTACACAAATGATTCTCTGACTGTAAGACACTACTTTGTTGAATCTCTCGAATGTTAAAAATTACGAAATGATCCCCTGAATATAGAATGTTGCTTTGTTGAGTCACTCGACTATTAAAAGTTATAAAATGATCATCCTACTATTCACTATGTTTTAAACTCATCCTTTTTCGTTAAAAAGTTAACGACAATCTAAGTTGAATGTCAATATGTTGTTTGAGATATGATAGTCGTTTGAGATTCTAGGATCAAGTTTTATCATATCTCAAACAGTATATTATCGTCCAGCTCAGACTGCTATCAATTTTTTAACGGAAAGAAATGAATTTGGAACATGATAAATAGTCGGGTGTCCATTTTGTAACTTTTAATAGCCGGGGGTCTCAACAAAATAATATCCTATAATTAGGGGATCATTTTGTAACTTTTGATAACTAGTGGACTCAACAAAGTAATATCTTATAGTCAATGGACTATTTGTATACTTTACCCTCGTATTTAAGTTATGTAAGCACGTTCGTTGTAACGTAGGCATATCTATGTGATGATATAATTGAGTTTAGAAACACAACATTTTAGAATAGCAACTTAAGGGTTAAGAATATGAATAATAATATATCAGATCGAGTTGTGTTTCCGACCAATCTAATTAGAGAAATATACATTTTTCATTCGAATTTGACTCAAATTTGGAGATGTATTCAGATCGAATTTTTTTTACCTGAGAATATAATGAATATAATTAAAAGAAATTGAATATAATGAATATAATTAAAAGAAATTGAATATAGATGGGAACAAGTATAAAAGAGAAAAGCACTTGACGACGTGAGTGAGAGTGGCATCCACCATTTGCTTTCACCGATTCGCAACGACCCTTTGGTTGCTCCAAGAGACCTTTCCGATTCACAGCATTTTATTTTTAAAATATTTACTAAATATAATAATAATAATAAAAACAAGAGAGAGAGAGAGAGAGACGCACGTGTTACTTGCGTGACTGCCATGCTGGCTAAATGTGTAACTCTGCTCACGACGGACGGGTCTGCTGCGTTCTGACTTATATCACGTGCACCAGTGCCGTTCCCGGAGAACAGAAAACCATGTCCAAAAATGTTATTATAATCTTAAGTACGTAATATCATCTGATTTAAGATTATTTAACGATAATGACATGAGGGATTTTTCAATTATAACACAAACAAGAAGACGAATCAAATGAATTCAAATAACGCGATAATTTAATATCACTTTTCATGGTGATTTTCTTTTAAGAAATCGTGTATCTAAAATATCCGAATAATTAGATCCGTGAATTCGTCAACCGAACTCAATTCAAAATCTATGATCTTCCACGTCGAATGTTTATTTTTCTCAAGAACAAATAATTTTTTTTGAATTTAGATCCCCATGAATCACTGTTAATCCCTACGACTTGCGTAATTTATTGCACCACCGCTACTGCATTGGTCTCTGAGTACCTCATTTTTAAGTGATCAAGACTTAATAAAACGATAACATAAGTGACTAAAACTTAATAAAATGATA